ATTATTTTTATTTTATGTGTATGCATGTATTGCCTACATGTAGGTAAGTGCACCTGTGTCATACAATGCCCATGGAGGTCAGAAGAGACTGTCAGATCCCCTGGGACTGGAGTTACAGACAATTGTTAGCTGCCATGTGGGGCCTGGGATTCGAACCCAGGTCTTCTGCAAGAACAACCAGTGTTCTTAACCTCTGAGCCATCTCTCCAGCCCTTCTATTCTTTCTTGATTTTAGGGTTCTTATGTTCCTGGAAACTTACCTGCTTCTTTTAGGTTATCCAGTTTGTTGACGTGTAGTTACATCTAATGGTCCCTTTTATGAACCATCTATTGTAGTGTCCTCTTGTACTGTCTCCTCTTAAATTTCTAATTTAATTAGATGAGTTTTGTCCTTCTTTTTTCCCTTAGTCTAGCTAAGATTTTGTCCATTTTTGTGTTTTTATCTCCAGAGAAAAGTGTGTGTGTGTGTGTGTGTGTGTGTGTGTGTGTGTGTGTGTGTAGGCCAGAGGTCAAAGCTGCTGTCTTTCTTAGTCACTCTCCACCTTATTTTTCCAGACACAGTCTGTCACTGAACCTGGAATCTGATAATCTGGCTAGACTGGCTAGCCAGCAGCCCTGAGGATCGATCCTCTTATTTCTGCCTTCCAGCACCCTGATTACAGGCATGCATATGTACCAGTTTTTTTACATGGATGCTGAAGATCAAATTTGGTGTATGACAAGCACTTTACCTACTGAGCCATCTTTCCATCCAGCCTCTTAAGATATTCTTGAAATTCCTTTTGATTTCCTCTTTGACCCAACAGTGTATTGCTTAGTTTTAATGTATTTGTTATTTTTGTTTTCTTGTTCTCTTGCATTACTGATGATTAGTTTTTTCCCATTATGATCTGTAAGGCTACTTGCTATAGTTTTGATCCTTTAAATTTGTAAGGCTTTTTTTGTTATATAGTGTGGTCTATCCTAGGAAATCTTCAGTGTGTGCTTGAGAGAAATGTGTATCATTTTGCTGCTGAATTGAAAGCTCTATGGTGTCCATTTGGTGCCCAGTGCTATTCCAGTTCACTGTTCATTGATGTTCTGTCTGAATATCCTGCCCATTTACTCAAAGTACGTTACTGAGTTCTGTTATTGTAGGCAGTTTCTCTTTTCAGGTCTGTCCATATTTGCTTTGTATATTTACGTGCTCTGATGTTGGCAACATTTTTTTTTTTAATGTCCAATTGAATTGATCATTATCTAATGACCTTTGTCTCTAGAGAACGTTTTTGAATTAAACTTTTAATTGGTTTGATGTAAGTACAGCCATGCAGGCTTGGCTTTGCTTTTCATTTGCATGGAATATCTTTCTTCTGTCATTTTCGGCCTGTATGGGTCTTTGAATCTAGGCTTTATTTTTAGCACTCTGTATCTTTTAATTGGGGTGCTGAGTCTATTTGCCTTATTAAATTTTATTGCAACTATGATGAAATGTGACTAAATGATTTGTAGAGTGCAGGAGGTGAGTGGGTAGATGCTTCAGTGTGGACAGCTCTCTTGAATTTTGTTGAAATTCAGAATGATTTTCTTTTAAAATGGAAACTGCTGGGAGGAGGGTGGAGAGATGGCTTAGCAGTTAAGAGCTCTTGTTGCACCCAGAGGACCTGGGTTTGGTTCCCAGCACCACATAGCAGGTCTCAACTGCCCATAACTGCACTTCCAGGGGGATCTGATGCCCTCTTCTGGTCTCCGAGGGCACTAGGCACCATGTGGTACACTTAACGTATATTCGGGGAAAACACTCATAAACTTAAAGTAAATAAATCTTTTTTTTAAAAAGGAACTATTGCAGTATATTGTTTACCCTGAGATACTTTGGCAGTTTTGGTCCTTTTTCTATTGGTATAACAGAATGTCCGAGAAGGGTGATTTATAAAGAATAGAAATATATTTGACCCATGATTGTAGAATCTGGCAATTCCAAGCTTGGCACTGACGTCTGCTCTACATGTCTTCTGTTCTCGCTGCCTTGTCACATAGCAGAGGGTATCAGTCATAGTGAGATGGCAGGCTTGCTAGCTTGGCTCGCTTTTTCTCTTTGTTAAAGCCAGTAATACTTATATAGGATAAGTATAATCCTTATCTCCTCCAATTAACTGTGAAAACCCCACTGCCAAATATGGTTAACATATGAATTTGTGGATTAAGTGTCCAAGACATGAGCTTTTGAGGGACACATTCAAGTCACAAATAATGAGACTGAAATGCTAACCAAACATTAATGTAGAATGAGAGATTAGTTGCTGGAAGGTCTTAAGTAGGCAAAAAGTTTCACTAAAAACCATATTGTTGACCAGACATTTCATTTCATAGTCAATTCCAGTCAGGTGCGGATTCCATGAGAAACAAAACTCCTTAGGTAGTTTAGTTCACAAACAAAGGCATTTAAATGGTATGCCAGCCAGAATCCCTTCCAAGCAGTTCTTAAAGTTTATTCAAAGAAGCTCCAAATTAACAAATAGGCCTTTATTAAAGAATTTACATCTGGTATGGTAGTTCTCAAAAGTGACAGTGTTGCCCATGGAGGACATTTTACAGTGTCTTTGGTTGTCATGACTGGGGACAGGAATGCTGTTTGCAACCAGTAAATAGAAACTAGGGTGTCCCAACCATCTAACAGCAGCAAGGAACTATCTAGATAGAGTGTAAATGTATTTGGGATTGGGAAACCCTGATCTTGTAAGCAAAGTAGAATATAATTAAAATTTGGTTAGAATGTCATAAGCCCTGTGGGCAGTATCAAGTGCTGTGGAGATCAGAGGAACTTATTTTTGATCAGAAAGCTTGGGTTAAAGTTCCTAGAAGACTAGAGTTCTGTTTAGCACTTAAAGGATAAGTAATATTTCCATAAGTAAAGATGAAGAGTTTTAAGAAAGGATCTAACATGAGCCAAGTGTCAGGCAAGTGGGATTCTGTTTGGGAAACAGACCATAGTTTAGTTTGAACAGGTCTGTAGTCCATTTAGGAAATTAGTGAGAGGTAAATTTAATGAGGTATATATTGAACTTAGATCTCTTGAAGAACTAGGAAACCCAGACAGAAAACTTACTTATTTTTAGAAATTCATAGAATATGTAAAAGTACACACTAAGCTTTTGCTGTTTGTGTCAGTTCATTCAGCTGTAAGCATTTGAAGGGTAGATATCTACTCTTTTCTTCCCTACTGAAAAAGTATTAAGTGTGCAAGGTGTTGATTTTGATTGGAAGGCAAGATTCAGTCTGATGCTTATTAATGTCATTAGCATAATCAACCAAATGTATTTGTTTTTTATTATTCCAGAAAAGAGAAAGAGCCAGTGGTGACTGAAGCAGTAGAGGAGGTGAAAACAGAACCTGTCCTGGTGTGTCCCCCCTTACGAAGCCGAGCGTACACACCACCTGAAGACCTCCTGAGTCGTTTGGAGTCTCATATGAAAGAAGTTCTTGGTTCATCTCTTCCTGCTAATTGGCAAGACATCTCCCTGGACGACAGTCATGTGAAGTTCAGTCTCTTGGCACATTTAGCTGATGACTTGGGCCATGCAGTGCCTAACTCCAGGCTTCACCAGATGTGCAGGGTCAGGGATGTTCTTAATTTCTATAATGTTCCTGTTCAAGATAGGTCTAAATTTGATGAACTCATCACCAGTAATTTGCCTCCCAATTTGCAGATCACTTGGAATTACTGAGCAATCAGAAGGTGAACACACTGAATTCATTTTATTCTCCTCACTAAGGTGGCTGCCAGTTAGACCTTTAGCTATGTTGCCTATCCCAACTCTTCTCTAAACCTCCTTTTAATAGATTTGATTTGTTTCTTTCTATAGAATGCATTCTTTTCTCTTGATGATGCCACAAAACATTTTCTAATTAAAGCCTGTTTTCCCCAAAAGAATCAAGTTTTAATTATTTATGAAAATATTCTGAGGTATATCAGGCAGGGTTCTCTAGAGAAACAGATCTGATAGAATGAATATATATTTAAGGGGGATTGATTAGGTTGGCTTACAGGATATAGTCTGGATATTCCAGGCATGACTGTCTCACAGTGGAGAGATTGAGAACCTGATGGTTGCTCCGTCCACAAGACTGAATGTCTCAGCAGTCCTAATCTGACACTGAAGGCCTGCAGGCTTTCTGGAGAGTTGCTGGCCTTCAGTCTCCATGGGAAAACTGAATGAGCTGATTCTAATGCTACTAAAGAAATGCAGCAGGGCAGGAGCAGGATCATGAACTTGCCAACAGAGTGGAGGCCAGCAGGCCAGAAGCCAGGTTTTCCTCCTTCCATGGGTGCTGCCCGCACTCAGGGTGGGTCTTCCCACTTAGTGTAATCAAGAGAGTTCCTCATAGAAGCACTCAGTGTCTTGCCTTACAGTTGATTCCAGATCCAGTCCGGTTGACAGCCAAGATTAGCCATCAGAGACACTGGGTGTAAGATAGGAGGCCATTGCAAGTGCACGTGTCTTCTCTGCCCTTCATACAGATGAAGTAGATGCAAGAAGATGGTCTGCTTTTAGTAGGCGCCTAAATATAAGATGAGATTATATACATACACAAATAAGGAGACATATTTTATATTGGACATAAACATGAAAGTCTATTATAGAAAGTTGTTTCTTTGCTTTACTGCATGAGTAAAAATGGTAGGAAATACCCTGTGTATTCTAGATTCATCTCTTGAATTAAAGCTGATTTCTAAAGTATATTGTGTCTTTGATTTTTTTAACTGGAATTGACTTCTATATATAACTACTTTAAAGAGGTATACCAGACTCTGTATTTATTTAATTACATACTCTGTAGTTGAGGCATATTTCACATTTTTAATCTTTCTGTAACTTTTTAAATTTTTTTTGTTTTATGTGTATGAGTGTTTTGCCAGCATGTATGTGAGTGCACTATTTGCATACTGTACCTGTGGAGGTTGGAACAGGGTGGAGGTCAAAAGAGGGCATCAAGTCCCCTGACACTGGAGTTATAGACAGTTGTTAGCAGCCCTGCAAGTGCTGGGAACTGAACTCTGCATGAACAACCAGTGCTCTTAACTGCTGAGCCATCTCTTCAGCCCCACTGTAACTTTTTCATAACATTTATTTCTTTACTTTTATTATTAATTGGGTGCCGCGGCTTGTGTATGGAGATTTGAGCACAACTTGTGGGAATTGGTTCTTGCTTTCCAGCATGGTGGACCTGGGGATAGAACTCAGGTCATTAAATTTGGCAGCGTCTACCCACTGAATCATCTCCCAGGTCCTCTTTTCTGTAACTAAAAAAAGTGGCCTTAGGGCTGGGCATAGTGGCACATGCCTTTGATCCCAGCACTGGGGGGGCAGAGACTAGTAGATCTCTGAGATCCAGGTCAGGCTGATATACAAATATTCCAGTCCAGCTGGGGCTATAAAAAAACAAAACCTGGCCTTAGGGTGACTGATGATTTACTAGCTTGTCAAGTCTGTTCTTTGATGTACTTAGTTTGTAGAAATTACTCAGATTACCAGGTCTGAATGACAAAATTAGTGGCTATGTAAGGAACTGTAGTAATTTAAGCACAGGAAATTGCTTTTATTCTCTTTCCCTGGTGACTTTTTTGAAGAAGAAAGAAAATCAGGGTATATAAATTCTAACACATTCATTAGAAAAATTAGTTGAAGGGTTGCCAGGATGATTCTGGGTAAGAACATTGAGCTATAAGCAGGAAGACCCACGTAGAAAGCTGGGCATGGCTGGCTGCGTATGGCTGTAACCATCAGCATTGAGGGTGGAGACAGGCGGATCCCAAGAGATGGATGGCCAGCTAGCCTAGCCCAAAAGGTGAGCTTCCCACTCAGCCCCTCTCGCATGACAATTAGGTGGAGATCAATAGAGACAAACGGATGTCCTGCTTTGGCCTCCATGTGTGCCCACATGGGCATGTTCAGCTGCACACTTCCCTGGAAACACCAACTAAAAGGGGAAAAGAAAAAACAGTACAATCTAAAAGTCACTGAATAGTTGCTACATGTACATCATCATTTTGCTTGCGAACTTAGATGTCAGTGTCTGGAGTCCTAGAGCTTAGACATTATACCTGCTTCTACCTGAACTGAGCTAAACATTTGGGGTTTATATACACATTGATTATCTTGTTTCCTTACAAGGAATACAAGAACAAAATGGAAATAAAGAGATAGAAAGCCGGTCTAGAAACACTTGGTTACGACTGGAGAAGGGATTGCAAAAAACAGGTGTCTTTGTTAAGACAAATTATTCCTTTGTATCCTAGAACAGTGTTTTTCAAAATTTAAATATATATGAGTCATTGGGGGTCATTTTAATGTCTGGGATGCTTGTATGTCTGAAACACTCAAGAGGTAATACTGGTCACATTCTCAGTAACATGATCTCAGAGTTATGAGATGGCAGCAAAGTACCCTTCCCTAAAACATAGTAAATTTAGCCAAACCAGTAAGGTAAGCTGTGTATCTGTCAGTAACTCTAGAAAGCGTCGTTGCTTTACATACAGGCAATACACTGACTTTCAGAATAATGACCTTTTCGTTTTCCTGAAAAGGTTTGTTAACTTGTTTGCTGAAGTTGCCAAACTTGTACAATAGTTTTATAGTTTTACTTAATTGAATCTATGAACTCAGTGTGTTTATATAAAACCTAATAAAACCATTAGCAATTCAACATCAACAGAAATGGTTTTACATAAAGAACATATGTTTCAAATAGCATAAGATAGACTCTTGGTGCATTTCATTTTAACATGTAAAGTTTATGACTTTAGGAGTAACCATACTCCATGAAATTGGAGAAAATACATAAAAAATAAGAGGGTAAAAATATCACCATCTTTCTATATAGATGACCATCTAACTTTCTAACATATATCCAAATTGAAAAAAAAAAACATTTTCTATATCCAGTTATTTTTATTCTGTTGCGTATACACCTTCACGTGTCTGGATGCACTTTTAGATATCTGTGGAGGACCATGTCATGTCCAGCTTTATGAGGGGGCAGGGGATCAAACCCAGCTTGTCATGTTTAAGTGGCAAGTGCCTTACTGAGACTCAGCTCCAAGCCCTATTTCCTGCATCTTATTGTGGCATAATGTCCCCTCCTTGGCCTGAAGACAGGGATGCCCAGCCTTTTCAAAGTGTGATGACACTCATCTACAAATAGGTTGGACCTTGTTTACAGCTATCTGGGGATGAATGCAGCCTGTTGGACACACCTGCTTTAAATAGTGTGCAAATAAATCTTGGGGGAAGAGGGCAAAATTCTAGGTATTCTGTTTCTCATTTCTAACTTCATTATAAGAGAGAACTCTTGGTTTCAGTATTTTTACATTTATTGAGATTTTTAAGTTTTTAATAATTTTAGTGCATTTCATATAATAATAAAAAGACAATAACAAAAAATAACATCTTAATCAAATTAGGCTCCCCCCTTCCCCCTACACATCAGATTTCAGGTATTCTATCACATATGTTAAGTCCTATCTGGTCAAGCATTTCTATCCAGGTGTCTCTTGGTGTAAGTTCATCCACTGGAGTCTAGTCAGCCTATTTAGAGTCACTCCCTTAAAGAAGATCTACTCTCCTTCACCCCACAGTAATCATTTGTCAGTAGATCCTTGGCTAGGGTTGGGGCCTGCTGCCCATTTCTCCAGTTCTATGCTAGGCTTTTGTCTGATTCAGTCAGCATAGGTCTTGTGCATGCTGTCAGCATTGCTGCAAATTCATATGAGCCAAGTTTCCAGTGGCCTGAGAACCTCTGTTTCCTTATGTTCATGCACCAGCCCTGGTTCTTACAGTCTTTCCACTCCCTCCTCCACAATGGTCCCTGAGCCATGGGTGGGTGAGGTTTAATATAGGAATCCTATCCAGGGACACATACTTTGCAGTCTTGGCCAATTGTGGCCTTCTGTGTGCATCACGCTCTGTTGTATGAAGAAGCTTCACCGGTGAGAATTGAAGAATGTATTAGTATTCTTTCTACCCCCTGTTTGACTGTGTTCCATGAGCCTTAGGTGTAGAGGTTCCACTGGAGATGTGTCACTTAGGGCTGCACATCTCTCAGAAATATATTCTCTTATGTGTGACCAGTTGTGGCACTGTGTAATAGCTTCCATCTGTTGCAAAAAGAAGCTTCTTTGGTTAGTGGTGTATAGCACACTTGTCTGTAAATAAAAGGATCCATATTTAGCATATGGTAAGAAATTTCATTTGTCTAGTGATATGACAGAGATAGGGTTTTCTCTAGGCTCTATGACTTCTCCAGCCATGTATATTTGTATTTACAGTGCCACCTATGAGTTTCCTCCCATTGAGAGGGCTTTAAAGTCCAATTAGATAGCTGTTGATTACCCCCTAAATAACTGTGCCATTAGTGTACCAAAGCAGGTAGTATGCTGTAAGTCAAATTCTCTGCTGAGAGGTGCACGTGGCATCCAATCCCCTCCTCCCATGGTCCTTGTGATAGCCTGAGGAAAATATTCTCCAAACCCTGGTTTGAAGAATCTTAATGAGTTTTTTGGACTTGCTAACTGAGCTTGGGGTGCAGGTTTACTTACAGACAAGTGGGTGTTACCCCCCACCCCTGCCTCATGGCTGTGTTTGAAAGTCCACACCCAGGCATAAATCTGTGGTTCCAGACAGCCTTACAAAATGGCGAGAGACCAGCCTCGTGGTTTTCCCAGCTTTTATACCCTTAGTCCCTCCCCTGCAAGCAGCTATGGTCAACCCATTGGCTGGAAGAGGGAAGGGGAGTGGCTTCTTTGCAGAGTGAGGGAAGGAGGCAGGTCCATGGCTTGTCATCACAGGGTCAGAGGAACATCCTCCAGGTCACACTCTCCACCCCTTTCTCTGGCTCTCACAAAACTTTCCACCTGCTTCTTCTGTGAATATCCCTGAGCTTCAGAGGGGGTGGGGTGACCTTTCTCCCATTGTAATAGGGCACCGGACTCCTCATGTCTCTGTATCCTCTCTTTGTCATGGGCTGATGGCTCGATTTAGTGGCATTCCACCTACTATAAAAACACAAACAGCAAGAAGCAAGAACATGTAAACAGTAACGGCAATAATAGTTCATGGGCGTAACATAAATGCTTGGATGGTACTTTAGTAGACAAATCACATTCAACAATACAATTGCAGTGACTTCTCCACTGGGGCCTATAACCTCTCCTGACACGGGGTCAGCCTGGTCTACAATACCAGATGTGTGTTCCATCCCTAGGAGGTCCAATTGATGATTAGCTGGTTGTACATACACTAGACGAGACACTATTGCACCAGCAGGAACATCTTGCTTTGCATGTTGATAGTGCAGCATGCAGGGTCCTTTGTTAAACACGATAATGGGGGATAATTCTTCCCCAACCATCTGCATAGTGCCTTCTGGCACTATGAAAGCCACCCATCCAGTGGCAGGGAGTTTCTAGCTTAGTCCAAGCTTGATTTCTTCCTCTCCCACACTCATATCATGCGGTGTCTTCAGCAATAGGGTCTTATCGTCCACTTCAGGTGTGCAACCAACATTATTGGCAATCACCTTTAAAGTTTTGGGGACCTCTGGGGTCCCTTTGGCCAACTGCTCATAGGGAGGCAACCCACCCCTGGTACTGGGATTTTCATTTAATAACCTTATGGCTTCTGGAAGAGCCTTTTTCCACACCAGTAGGGTTCCTTCTGGGTTTAAGGCTTTCAACTGTTCCTT